CGCCTGCTGGGCCCCATGGCCCGACATGATTCTGCTGTGCATTCGTGTGTCTGTTGCATCTGCACCCTGTTCTGAATGCATGCATCTGTTGTAAGACCAGCCACAACAGCAACAAAATTTGAGCTCTGTCTGCTGCGGCGGCCGACACGTCAGCGGCTTGCCATTCTGACCAAGACGCGGCATGGGCAATATCGCTTCCCATTGATAATGGACCGCTGCGGATCCACCTCCATCAACATTTCTGGTTCTACGCCCTGACAGATCAGTGCGACGGGCCTGCTGAGGAAACACAAGGGCAAGGGTTGTTCCTTCACCTTCTTCCTGCACGTCCACAACCTCACATGGACATCCACCGCCGGCAGCGTGTGCGTGCGCTATGAGCGGGGCTCTCACAGCGGGGCGACTCGGGCGGCAGCGCCTGCCGGGCCCCGCAGCGGGGGCCTGGCCACCTACGTCTTCGAAGAACAGATGCTCCCTGAGCTGTCGGCTACCCTCTACCAGGTGCCTGCCGCCGTCGCTGCCAGGCGGCGGACTACCGGTGCCTGGCTGCCAGCCCAGGCGGCGCGCCGCCGCGGCGTGGCCGCTGCCGCGGTGCACCACCTCTTCCATTGTTCAAGGTGTTCCATGGTGGCGCACCTGCACTGGAGCAGAGCAAGATGGGTGGAGGCGTGAACAGCGGCGAGCGACGGGCGGCACGCAGGCGGCCACAAACTGGCGGGTGCTGGCGGCGTGCGTTGGCGAGCCAGGCGCGCCCGAGCGCGCCGGAGCCCGCTGCCGTGCGGAGAGCCAGCTACTGCTTAGGATCGAACGAAACTGGCGCGCAGGTGCCCAATTGTGCAGCTCCCACGGGTGTCTCTCTGTATCCGCTGCAGCGCGCTGCTGCGCCCTTCTCTATTGGTCAAATCGAGCAGACCCCGTGTCTTTAGCAACCCTCTGCATACTTGAGAGGCCACAGGCAACACAGTGCTTACGCACGCCCCCAGCATCCCTATCTCCTGCGTTCCGCCTCCCCGGGCGCACCCTGCTGGCTCCCAAACCCCTCCAGCACAAGTACTTGGGCTCTGGGCCGCAAGGCCCGGCGGTGTCAGAAGGTTGGAGGCACCCATGCAGGCTGTCGTGCGCTCCCTCCCTCACCCTGGCCTAGCTGCGGCGCCAACGGCACGCCACCAAGGGGCATGGCCTTCGGCTGCCGGCGGCTGGTTCTCCAGACCACCTGCGGCTGGTGCGGCAGCGACGAGGGTGACGCCGGCAGCGGCCAAGCTGCAGCTGCACAGGCAGCGGCAGCGCCTGCGGCATACTGCGGCGTGCTCCAGTGAGAAGGAGCGGGAGGGCTCTGAGGAGCAGGGCAGGTAAGGTTTCAGCCAGCCTGAGCTTGGTGTTTGGTTGCCGGTTGCTTGCCGCTGTTGCCTGCCGCTGTGCCAGTCGAGCACAGTGCCTCCGCCGTTACTGTCATCTCACTGGTTGTACGTTGCAGGGGAGAGACGGCGCGAGAGCGCTTTCGACAGCCTGGAAGCGGTGGGGAGGAGCCCACCACCATGGCACAGTGAGCTTGCTCGATGCGTTGCACGGGAAGCTGAGTCTGCCGCACCTTTACCTCGCGACGACATACTTGCTGACCTGTGCATGCCCTGTCTGCAGTATTGACGAGCCCCCAGAGGGTGAGACCCTTGTGCTGAGGGAGGACGAGGTGCAACGCACGTAAGTGGTGCCCCCGCAGAGCGCCTGCCTCTCGTTTTTGTTGATGGACGCAATCGTGTGGCGCATCAGAGGGGGCTGCAGTTTGGGTGGATTGTCTGCGGTCTGCTGCTCCATTGCAAAGACCCTTGCGCCTGACGGGCCCCTGCCTGTTTCTGCCTGCTGCTGCAGCGCTGGAGAGCCGATGCCGGGCGGAGGCGTTGGCTTTGGACACGAGACGGAGCTGGCGGCAGCTGCACCGCCTCCACCTAGGGAACCCAGCCCAACAAGCCAGGGCGGCGAGCTGCTCATGAGGTGTGTGCGGGCTAAACACAGCTTGTAGGTTGTTGGTTGGTGCAGCCGAGATGCGTGGGAGTTGTGCAGCAGGGCTGGCAGGGGGCGCCCCGAATTTGGAAGGCCATGCTTATAAATTGAAGCTTACCTTGCAGACTGCGTGGTTGTGTTGAGCACTGCGCCGGCGGTGGGGCTGCATGCTGGTGCCTAGCGCTGCGCAGAACCGAGGCAGTTCCTCGTAACCTCACCATTAACGTGCCCTGGCCCTTCGTTCGTGTGTGCAGCGAGGGCGTGGCCAATGCGCTGATGGAGCAGTTAGGCCAGATTACCCAGAGGCTGAGCAGGATGGTGACACAGGACGCCCTGGAGCACGTCCTGGACCAGAGGCTGAGCGGGATGGTGACGATGGATGCCCTGGACCAGAGGCTGAGCGGGATGGTGACACAGGATGCCCTGGGGCACGCCCTGGACCAGAGGCTGAGCGGGATGGTGACACAGGATGCCCTGGACCAGAGGCTGAGCGGGATGGTGACACAGGATGCCCTGGACCAGAGCCTGACCCCGGTGCACAAGCAGCTTGCGGCTCTCGCGCGCGCCACAGGCGCGAATGCCGAGTCTCTGGCTCGCGCGAGCTTTGGGTTTGACAGCCTGGCAGGATACTGGCCAGGCTGTCAAGTCACTGACGGTGAGCGACAGGCTGGGGCAGCCCCCAACAGCAAGGCAGCATTGCACTGCCTGCTATGCGCCTGCCTGGCCCCTGGCCGCTCCCCTTGCCATGCAACATCATCTGCGGTTTGGTTGTGCTTTGCCAGCATGTGGGCGCAGCCCCGGCGTCTGCTTGATACCTGAGTTTGGGCCTTGCCCGTTTCGGGTCCACCGAAGCAAGCTGCGCTCCACGCTGTGCTGCGCACGCTCCCCCTCGCGCTTCCTGCGCAGTGCACGGCCTGCTCGCCATTGCGAGCTGCGACCGCTACCCGGCCAACGAGGATGCTGTGCTGGATGCTGTGCTGAAAGGGCACTGTGGCTTCTTCGCGCTGCGGCAGATGGTGCTGCGCGCACTGGAGGTGAGCAAGGTTCTTGGGGCAGGCTCGGGCGTCGGCAAGGTGCTTTGCAGGAAGCGGCAAGGAGCTGCATGCTGCATGTCTGTTTCAGTG